GGACGGGGGGAGGGGAAAGGGTTTGATCCAGCTGGAAAAACACCGATGGGTGAAAAACACCAAGCATGCAGCACCCGCCCCCCTGCCCCCGCAACCACACTGGACCTGATCCCAGCAGCTGGGGGCCTGATCCTGCCCTATCCTGGTACAGCCCCTGGGCCCCAAGATGTGCCCCCGTCCAGTGTTGCCAGGCTCTATCCCACTCCCCCAAGTGCCAGCTGCCTGAGTCAGGGGATGACAGGTGGCCCCCAACCCTCTCCCTTGCTCTGCTCAGGGTGGACCCCAGCGGCCTGGGCCAAGGATCGGGCCCCACTGGGGGGGGTACCATGAGCAGCCAGTCGTGCTCTCACCCCTGACACAGCCCAGATCCTGCCCTGCCGGCTGACCCCAGGCAAGCCTCATTTCTTCTTGGGGGACATGTTTGCACCCTTGACCTGGGCACATCCTGCCAGCCCGCTCTCCCGCAGGGGAGCTGCTGGGTCACGCCCCCTGGCAGCTGGGATAAGTGGAGGTGCTTTTGCAGCTTCATTAGTGCAGGGCATGGGATTGCCACAATCAGGCATTCCCGTGACCGGGGCACTAATGGGGCCCATTACCCAGGTAAAGAGCAGGGCAGGTAGGCGGGGGCCCTGACACATGGGGAGGGGGTCCCGGCCACCCGCTGCCTCTTTGAGGCAGGGTCCTGAGACCCCTGCCCACCCTTTCTCTGGGCAGACAGGGCACTCATGAGAAACAAGTCAGGGAGGGCATTGCCCCCAGGAGAGCAGGGGCCCGGGCACCATGACCTGGGGGGCAGAGCTGGGGGGCTACAAGCGGGGCAAGGCCCAGGCAGGGGCTCCCGGAGCCCAGGGGCATGGAGCAGGCCTAGCCCTGGGGCAGCAGCACCCCCAGGCAGGGATGGCAGGGCAGGCCCTGGGACAGTGGGTTGTTTCTGCCCCCTCCCTGGTATGGGAGAGCACGTGCTCCCTGGATGTGCCCCCCCACAGGTGTGGGGAGGCCCCTCAGGCTGCATAGGACAGCAGGAAAAAGCAGGCAGGCGGTACTAATGAAAAGCAGCTAATTAATTAATTACCCAGCTTTTTAATTAACCCAAAAGGAGCAAAAAAAAAATTAACTAGCAGAGGATGGTTTCGATCCATCGACCTCTGGGTTATGGGCCCAGCACGCTTCCGCTGCGCCACTCTGCTACTTGAATGCACAGTTCTGATGACTCCATATAAGGCTACCGCGAGCCACTCACGCATGCGCAGCGAAGACGCCCATGAGCTGCCCCCCAGCACCCATTCTACGCACGTCCCGCGCCACCTTGCGGCCCCACTCGCGCCCTGCAAGACGCATGCGCAGTAGCACGGACCCGCTCGCCAACGGCCGCCTTCTTGTTCCCGCCCCCCGGGCCTGTAATTGGCCCAGCGCTCCCTCTCCGATTGGCTCGTTTGAGATAGATGGGGAAGCAACCCAATAGCCGAACAGCGAGCGAAAATACCAGCCCGCGGTTGGCCGTGCGAGAACCAATCGCCGGGCCGCTTGTCTGGGTTATGGGCCCAGCACGCTTCCGCTGCGCCACTCTGCTACTTGAATGCACAGTTCTGATGACTCCATATAAGGCTACCGCGAGCCACTCACGCATGCGCAGCGAAGACGCCCATGAGCTGCCCCCCAGCACCCATTCTACGCACGTCCCGCGCCACCTTGCGGCCCCACTCGCGCCCTGCAAGACGCATGCGCAGTAGCACGGACCCGCTCGCCAACGGCCGCCTTCTTGTTCCCGCCCCCCGGGCCTGTAATTGGCCCAGCGCTCCCTCTCCGATTGGCTCGTTTGAGATAGATGGGGAAGCAACCCAATAGCCGAACAGCGAGCGAAAATACCAGCCCGCGGTTGGCCGTGCGAGAACCAATCGCCGGGCCGCTTGTTGCGGAGTGGACAGCGCTGGCCGGCGGCTTCTTCTCAGCGGCGGCGGGTTCCATTGTTCGGGGGTAGCGGGCGCCATGAGGTGAGCGGTGGCTGGGGTAGGCCCGGGGGGGTCGGGATGTGGGGAGGGGCTGAGGACCCCGCAGGCGGGGCGGGGAAGGTGGACGGGGTGCCTTACAGGGGTTGCAGTCGAGGTGGGGGAGGGGGATGCAAGGGAGGGCTGAAGCGGGGTGGGGGGTGCCTCGCGGGGAAGATGAAGGGGGTAGAGGGCTTGGCCGTAGGGTCAGGGGCTCGGGGCCTTGCTCAGCTGTGACTCACTGCCTCCTCTCTCTCTCACCCAGCGGTGATCGAGGTCGAGGGCG